ATTTAAATACCTATTGTTATTACCATTATTATTTGCAACATTATCATTTAAATATCTTGTTATTATTACCATAATTACTTGCAACGTTATCATTTAAATATTTTGTTATTATTATCATAATTATTTGCAACATTATCATTTAAATATCTTGTTATTTTTACCACAATTACTTGCAGCGTTATCATTTAAATATCTTGTTATTATTACCATAATTATTTGCAACTTTATCATTTAAATACCGATTATTATTACCATTATTATTTGCAACATTATCATTTAAATATCTTGTTATTATTACCATAATTACTTTCAACATTATCATTTAAGTATCTTTGTATTTTTATCGTTATTATTTATCATATAATCACTTTTTTCTATTATTTTTGCCATTATTACCGAGATTATCATTTTGTTCCCTCGTTTTTATTACCTATTTTTTTCGCATTATCATTTCTTTTCAACATTATCATTTCCTTATTTTAATCATTATCTTCACGTTTTGCCAAATCTTTCCTTTTATTTTTCCTTCTTTTTATTCCTCTATCCTATTAGTATTATTAGTATCATCGTCATCATCACCATAGTTAACTTTTTTGTTTGACTCGTTCTTGCTATTATTATTATTATTATTATTATTATTATTAGTGTTGTTCATAATCTTGTATGAACAAGAATCAATTGCTCATGTTTTTGTCTTTGTTTTTCTGTCAAAATTATTCCAACTAAAAATCTGTCTAACGAACTGCCCACATAATCTTGCGAAATGTTGAATCACGTCGATTGATCGACTTAAGAGAGAAATCTCAAGTGTTCTTTTACGGTTACTTGCTGTGATAAATATTGAACAGCATCGCTTTGCGACGGTGAAAGAAAGCAGGAGTTGAGCCAAAATGCGTAGGCGAATCAGGTAGTCATTTACAAACGGGCTTGAACAGCAACAGAATATAAACAAAATAAAAATACAGAGGTCAAAGTTGAACGCACACGATTGTGTCTCTCAGGTTCAGCCAGTTCTTATGGACGACCTTTGAGCTGTAAGCTGCGAGCTACAATATTTCACGAAGGGACTATAACAGAGAAATAAGAATGGTTTGTATGAATTAGTTGATCAGGCAGCAAGAGACGGAGATCAATCGATATACACTGGAAACTGAACTGTTGTAATTGAACTTGCTTTGCAAAAGCTAAGCAAAGTATTAGGCCACAGGAAAAATTCGTTATAAACAAAGCAAAGAATGCTCATCAACTATGTAATATCAGTCCTCCTATATGACAGTGAATGCTGGACAATCACCTCATAGATTTAGAAAGGACTTTGAAAACAAAATTGTTGTTCTAAAGAAGGATGCGGGTAATACCGTGAACTGAACAAGTGAGCAACGGCGAATTTTTAGAGAAAATAGACAATAAAAAAAAAAAACACTTCTGCTTAGAATCAGAAAGCGACAGTTGATATTTCTATGACATATAATGAGGAAAGTAGGCTTGGAAAATCAAAATCTCACAGGAATCGAATGCAAAAGACACAAGGAGGAAACAGCAAGTTTATTACCTAACGAGATTGAGGAAACCAGTGGCTTGGAGTGATAGTACAAAGACAAACATTGCTAAAACTTACATAATTAGGAAAATGTGGAGAGCCATGACGGCCTGCGTCCCGAAGGGACACTTCACAAAAAAGAAAAAAAAATTTTCAGTAATATTGCAATTAATTCCTCGAAACTTTAGAGATATTATAACAGGATGATTCGAGCCTCACTGGGTGCTCCATATTTTCGGCCTTGTGCCACATCTAAGCTACGCTTAGTAAACTGCTATAAAACAAAGAAAAGTGGGCTCAACTGCTATATAATATCAGTCTTTGTTTTTGACGGCTTATAAACCCTTTGCAAGTTATTTAAAGACAGAAAATGTTTATATTGTATTGACCCATAGCTGGGGGAGAAGACGTGGATTCATGCCTAACCAGTATCTGATAAACAAGAAATTACAATATAGAAATAAAATGAGGGGTCAATTCTATATTTCAATCAATATATAAAGTGATCCCTCATTTTGTGACCACGCTTTTTTCTATATATTTGGGCGCACTTCGCTTGCTAGATCAAGTACGACTGAGTAGGGAGTTCGATCCTCACTGAGCGCTCTATACATTCGGCTTTGTGCCACATCTAAGCTAAGGTTAGTAAATTGCTATGGCAGGATAATTTCAATCGAAACAAAGAGTGCTTACTTCTACATAATGTCAGTTCTCCAATATGGTAGTGGATGCTGGGCAATTTCCTCGCAGGTGAAGCGAAGTTTTAAGACAACAGAGATGTGGTTCTACAGAAGGATGCTGAGAATACCACGGACAAAATATGTGAGCAAAAAGGAATTTTTAAGGGAAAAAGGGAAACAAAAATGCTACTTACAATTGGAAAGAGACAGTCGAAAAGTCTACGAACTATAAAGCAGAAATAGGCTTGGCGAATTTGATACTCGAGTCGCATATTCAAAGATTACTAGGAATTTACTAAGCCTAGCTTAGATGTGGCACAAGGCTAAATATATGGAGCTCTCAGTGAAACTCAAACTCGCTGTATTCAATTTTATATTCAAATCAAGAAGTGTAGTGAAAAGAGAATTTTTTTCTTTAAAGACAAAAAATATACTACCATTCAACAGTCCTCCTGGGATTTCGAACCGACCCCTTTATTGGGTCCACACACATTTGTCCTTAATTATTCACATTGTTCGGACTGTTGTCCTCATCTTTACTGTCAGGTTCACGACGTTTCGGTCGTTGTAAGCTCCGGCCTTCTTCAGGTGATTGGAATTTCGAAATAAACCCTTTATTTCCTCCAACGAGGTAGACTACTCCAGTTCTTTCGGATGTCCCAGTTATCTCCCTTTTAACTCATCACTCCAATTTTTTTTGTTCACCACTGCCGTAAGAAGGTATTGAACTCACAACTTTTATGGGTCTAGTCACTGAATCCAACCAACGCTTTTATTCACTGAGCCAATTGCAATTACAATAGCTCATCTCAGAACTATAGACAGATATATGTCCTCAAATTTTAATGCCTTCTAGTATTGATTTCTAATTATTTCTTATTACAAAGCATAAGCAACCTTTAATATGAGAGAAAAAAAGGATTTATTGTGTTATTGGTTTATTTCCAGTTGTGAAATAAGGAAGACGCAAAGGAAACGTTGATGATTAAAACTGAAATTCCAGAAGTTTTTACGTATAATTAATTACCAGGAGAGTTTTCGCGATATTGGAGTCGGAATATATTCGACGACATATTGTCCAATACAAAGTTGGAGGGACTCATTAACTATAAGGGTAAATGACAAGAGAAGCGTTATTAGAAAATAAATAATTTTAAAAAACGAATACTTGAACGAATAAAAAAAAATCACAGTCGAATACGTAAGAACGGAAGTGATCCTGTTTATGTATATGTGTATGTTTCATAAACAGATATAAACAGAGTGAAATAGATAGATACATACATATATAGACAGGTGACAAGACTGAGATAGATAGATAGATAGATAGATAGATAGATAGATAGGTGGGTGACAAGACTGATAGATAGATAGATAGATAGATATCTGGTTATTGCGAAACTATTGTATGTTGTTTCTTCATTTTTTTAATCATTATTTATTATTGATTACTTCATTATTCTTTGCTGTTTTTAGATAGATAGATAGATAGATAGATAGATGACAAGACTGAGATAGATAAGACTGAGATAGATAGATAGATAGATAGATAGATAGATAGATAGATAGATAGATAGATAGATAGCGCCATGAAGTAGGTAAACCACTGCTAATGGTGGACTACTTAGACAGCATATTACCCCCCACTTACAATAGTGTCCAACGTATTTATGAGGATTGGAAAATACCCATTAGTGTTTATAGGTAAGGTATATAACAGATTCATATAAACAGACTGAGATAGATAGATAGATAGATAGATAGATAGATAGATAGATAGATAGATATTGCTGTGACCTAGAAAGGGTTACTGAATAAGGAATAACAAAAACGGAGGTTGGAAATGAAATGCTAATCTTTATAACATCAACAAAATACAATACTCGCCAGCGGCGTGAAATACGTAAACCACTGCTAGTGGTGGACTACTTAGACAGAAGATTACTCGCATTTAAAATAGTGTCCAACGTATTTATAAAAATTGGGAGATACCTATTAGTGTTTATAGGTACGGTATATAACAATTTTACTTATTTTTTATTTTATTTTAAACGTATCTATCTATCTATCGATCTGTATATATATATATATATATATATATATATATATATATATATATATATATTATGAAATGGACAAAGTTCGACAATTATTTAAAGACATTTTTATGTTTAACATTCTTTTTTATAGATTTATAAACACATATATATATATATATATATATTTTATATTATAAACAGAGCATTTACTTAAATACTTGTAACTATGTCTTTAAATATATATATATATATATATATATATATATAACGTGTGTATGTGTGTGTTTGTTCAGATATCTTCGATTATTTTATTTTTCTCTCTATCTCTTTTTACATATATATATATATATATATATATACTAATGCCAATATAAACGAAGAGAATCATCAATGGTAGCTGAAATGTTCGACAGAATATCGAATAAGGCACTTGAAAGGCTTGCTTAACAAACAAAGGTCGATAAATTCCCCTGCCATCAAATTCAATGTGAGAATTGAAAGGAGAAAATAAAAGATTTATTTTTCCTTATTTCAATGTAATATGAAAGAAACTAGGAGACCGTACAAGTCGCCATTTTGTACAAAGGTCAGTACCTATTTGGGCCGATTTATTTCACTGCTTTCGGTCGGCAATGCGCGATGTCTCTGGAAGTAATCTGACAAGCCCTTACTGTTGAAGAGAGTTCGATCCTGACAGAGTGCCCCAACACTTGTGCCATAAAAATAAAATTTACAAAGCATAGCTTCAAGTCCAATGAGGCCATCTCCCCAAGCAGTAAGTCTCCTTGGAGATGGGGTCATTAGCCGGCGCTTGAAGGGCGTCCCCAAAAGGAGAAATGCTGATGGGCTTGTGCTCTTTAAGGACGGTTTTAAAACCCGACCTTCTGTCCCATTCTGCTGCGACGCTGCCGCGCAGATAAATCCTTAAATACTAAGCATTTTTTTTAATAGATTAATTAAATAATAAATAAAGGACTTCTGCTTAGAATCGGAAAGCGACAGTTGACATTTCTAGGACACATAATGAGGAAAGAAGGCTTGGAAAATCAAAAACCCTCAGGAAATATCGAATGCAAAAGACACACGGATGAAACAACGAGTAAAGTACAAAGACAAACATTGCTAAAAGTTACAAAAGGTAGGAACGTATGAAAAGCCATGAATAAATTAAAGGCAATAAAGCCACCAAGACGAAAGGGTTTTTACTAGTGCGAAAGAATCTGAGAAGTAGAAAAAAACATTAAGGAAAGAGAACAATAAAAGAACAGGAATTAAGTAGATAAAAGATAGCGATTGACATTGCATTTAAATTTTGAAGGTCAAAGTTGACTGGAATGCAAGAGGCCGGAAGAGATTTCCACAAGCGAGAAGTGCGAGATAAGAAAGTGCCGGCGCAAACCTATGATTGCTTGTAGCAATTTCAAGTGTAAAAGGGCGAGACCCAGCTGCCAATCTAGTACTGCGCTTAAATTCATGAACTCGGGGTTCCAAAGTGGAAAGCTCGGCCAAAGAATTACCATGAAAGGATTTATAGAAAACGCACAGCGAAGCTACGCTACAACAGCAGCGAAGTGATTGAGATATTCACTAACCGCCCCACGCGGCCGGATACGGCACAAGGCCAAGTTTATTATGGGGTATCCGAGCTCGTAGGCTCGGTCAAAAATTCCCTGTAGCCCAGTAAAAAACGGGATCGGGTAGCTGTCTACCACCCCAGACGAGACTCTGCTCTTCGGCACAGCCTCGTCTGGGTTTCCTCTCTACTCGGAGGCAGAGTGTTTAACAAGCACACTTCCAAAGAGAGGAGAAGTGATTGAAGATAATACGCCACGTCTGGACTGATAACGCACACTTCTGAAGTAATTCGGAGAGCGAGATATTCACTACCGCCCCTCACGCAGCCGAATGCGGCACAAGGACAAGTTTATTGTGGTGTATGCGAGCCCGTAGGATCGGTTAAAAATTCCCCGTAAACGCTGTAAAAACAGGTCCAGGTAGCTATTTACCACCCAGACGAAACTATGCCCCTCGGCACAGCCTCGTTTGGGTTCCTCTTTGCCCGGAGGCAGAGAGTTTGACAAGCGCACTTCCGAAGAGAGGCGAAGTGATTGAATCTAAGATGCCACGTCAGGACTGATAACATTGCAGATTCTTCTTTTGATTTAATCAAGAATCTCTAGATACATAGCAAAAACACCATACTAGATGTGACAGCGATATTCTATGAACGGACTAATGGTAGACTTATAAGTGTGCAAGAAAGATGGTCTGCTAAACTATATTGAACCAACTTTCCTAGTATCAGACCTAGCAGTCGATTTGGTATAATCATTCAATATATGGAACAATTTTTAAAAAAACGCCTTTAAAAAACTCTAAAACACTCGATATTTACATGCTCTCGGGTATTACTCCCCGTTTCACGATGAAATCGATCTTCATGTTTAAGAAGAAACGGTAAAACCACTCAACAAATTTGTAAGCATCAACTACAGCCACTACACTTAAGTTTATGGCGGTGATCGGCACCTGCCAAATAGAAAATATTTACCCGTTCCGTTCACACAGGAGCAAAACAACAGAGCAAGTAATCTCATGCTGACACTTACAAACAAGCTCTGACTTTCTTTGAGGAGTTGGTCTTAATAAAAAAAGGGGATAATCTTCAATTTCTCCACTAAACATAATCCACCACTCCCTGAAACAGCTCCACAAGATTTTCTCATTTTAAACATTTTTTCATTCAGGATTAGATCTATTAAATCTATTTTGGTGATCCCATATGAATTTTGACAGCGTTGTACTGGCAGCGTAACATCTGTCGAAGAATGGTTTATGGTTGCAATATCTCTTTCTAAGGTTGTTCGGTGCATCTTATTTAACTCTGTTTTCACAGTGGCTTGGTAGATAACATTGTTTGAGAAGCATTTACCGTTAATGGGACATTTATTTTCACGTTGAACAAGACCCAACTCCTCAATAGATTAGAGCTTGCTACTATGTGTAGGCACGAGAATAAATGGTTTGTGTCAGTGGAGGCGCGGTGGTGTAATGTATAGCAGCTTGGATCGAAGAATCGAAGAGTCGGGTTCGAATCCCAGTCCAGTTCGTTACATTCACTTAGATGCAAATAGGTTTGGGAAAGGCATGAAACCATCTCTTCTTCCCTCCCTCGTTATATATATAGCTTTGTTCGTTAACTGGTCTAAGAGAAGGACAACTTTGAATTCAAAACCTGAGTGTCTAGTGGTCGGTAACTAAACCGGATTCCCCAGAAGCATAATAAAGATCTGTAAAAGGACAGATCAATTCCTCAGTAACACGGCCATCCACGCAAACTATGGGTCACTAAGGGCCTTACAAACCCGCAATTGACCAAGAATAGTAAGTACGTCTTCACCACTGAAGACATGGACAACGAGGGTGGGGTCCTAGATTTGGTGTCGGGTTGACTGGAACGGTGGGATATTTGGTAATGGTGTATATCATACGCAAAATTCAAATATTTTCATTTTTCTTTCAGAATTATCGAAGACATTAATATGGCAGCTCCAAATCTAAGGCAAGAATTAAAAGGACACGCCCTGCTTGTAGCACTAGGCACCAATGATAGCAACTCGGAGATGCCAGCTTCTTGATGGTGCTTGAAATGAGGAATGACGCGAGGAACTACTCGGATCCCTCGGACTTTTCCACGGTTATGTACTCCAAATTCAAGTTGCCTGTGGTGATCTCGGTGGCTGCAACGATGATCATATGATGTTACCGCAGTTCATTCCGCAGTAACCGAAGGTCAATGACACAATCTACATTACAGGCAAAAAATTAGGAACCACCTTCCATTTCTTTAATAAGAAAAAAACCAAAAAAGAAACACCGAGATATTTTTTAAAAGTAAGAATATATATTTTCAGTAACTACAAAGCATTTGCTTATATTTTTCAGTCTTTCTCCAGGTTCCTCTTACTACCAAAAAGTTCAGATTTGGATTCAACTGTTCAAAATACATTTTGCTAAATTATGAATATTTTACATGAGAAATATTACATTTTGTTTTCACCATTAACGCCTCAATAGACTTTTTGAGGTTACCAAAAAGGCTGGAGATTTGATTCAGCTCAAGGGAATCATGAAAAAAAAAACAATATTATTCGATTTTGCAAAAAAATGTGATATCATCTGGCTTACGCATAATTAGAAAAAAAATCAACTTTCAACAAGACAACGATCCAAAACACTCTTCTAAATTATGTCAAAATAACCTCGAATCAAAAAAAAAAACATTTCGCAAATTATGACATAGCAGACTCAATTTCCTGATATCTCTCCCGTTGAATTAGTATGGGATGAATTCGGTATGGGATGATTTCGAAGAGAATACCTAAAGCGTGAGAGTGAGGTTTTTCAGTTCTTGAAGAACACTTGGGAAGGTCAGCCATCTACATTTTTTTTCAAAAAGTGTAGCCAAGAATTTGTAAAGCTGTAATTAAGGCAGGGGGTGGTTTTATTGACGAAAACAAAATATGGTACTGTTTTATGAACATTTTCTTATAGTTAAGTGCTTACGTTTTGTCAAAATAAAGGCAAATGCACGGTACTTACTTAAAATTATATCTTTTACTTTAAAAAATACAAAATATCTCAATTTAAGGTATTTTTAAATAGAAATGCAGAATGACCACAAACTTTTGCCTTGAGTGAGTATATATATATATATGTGTGTGTGTGTGTGTGTGTGTGTGTGTGTGTGTGTGTGTGTGTGTGTGTGTGTATCTATGTTATGGTAATTTACCCATGCACGTATGGACTCTCCCAGCTATAAATAGGAGCAGGTACTGCCTTTTGGAGAGGGAAGTTTCCAGCAGTCAGCTCTGACAGTCGGACCGAACATTCTTGCTGTAACACTCTCGTTTGTATATGTTTGTATTACTGTTTCTGTTAATATATTTGTTTCACTCAATTCCTCTCTTGTGTCTTTATTTCTGGCCCTAACAAGACCACAACAATCTTAGAAGTCAACTCATGACTGAGTAAGACCATCTTCTGCATTCAAACTTTCTTAATTTTTCACACATTTCAAATATCATCACTTTGTTGCTGACATCTCAAATGTATACACTACAGGCAAAAAAAAAAGAATTGGATAGGGGGTTTTGAAGAGAATACCCAAAGAGTGAGAGTGAGCTTTTTTAGTGCTTGGGAAGATATTCCATTTACTGTTTTTCAAAAACTATTGGAAAGAATGCCAATAATTTGTAAACAGTAATTAAGACAAGTGGTGGTTTTATTGATGAAAATAAAATATGATGCTGTTGTATGAACATTTTTTTATAATTAAATGATTGTTTTGTCAAAACAAAGGCAAATACACTCTAGCTACTGAAATTATATGTTTTGCTTCAAAATGGAAAAATAAGTCTTAAGGTGTTTTAACTAAATGCAAGGTGGCTTCAAACTTTTCCTGTGGTGTACATAGAAGATTGCAACGGAACAATGCTTCTAGAAAGACGTACGCGACCACAGACCCTATATTTCCTTCCACATAATCCACACGACCTAAGACGAGCTGCTTGAGAATTTTCATGATCCTCTCATTGCGAAAGAAACAAATGGCGTGTGCTATGTTCGGGGCCGCCCACAGCCTTCTTTTTTATATTTTAAAGAAAGATGGATTTGGCAGACAGCTTAGAAGTGCGTCTGATCTCAATTGCGCCAAAACTAGTTTGGAACTATCTGGAAGG